TGGACTGATATATAAGATTGACAGAGGGAAGGGGAAGAAGAAAAATGATGGATGGTCAAATTCTTTTAAAAATTAAGATAGAGGGAGGGTATGGAAAGGATAGGGAAGAAGAAGTAATGAATGGGTAGATATATAAGATTAACCCAGCCAAGAATCTTTTCCTTAAAGTGTGGAACTTTATACATCAGGTTATACAGCAAATTGGCCAATATGGCCCATTATTTTAAGCAGGACAAATCAACCCTGTTCCAAATTAGTCTAATAAAAGGGCCTTAATACAAATAATAAATAAAAATTACAATAATGATCATAATATCAAACATAAATGAAAGGATTTTAAATACAGATAAATAATAAAAGTAAAATTAGAAAACTAATATTAAAAACTGAGTAAGATGATGCATGGATAATCATACAAAAGATGTTAATTTAGAATTATAAATGTTGTGTGTGTGTGCATAAAGATTATAAGTTGGAAAAATAATTGCTCAATGTATATATTGTCATCTACAGACAGACTGTTTCGCTGTATTACAGCTCATCAGTGTGGCTAGACATCTGATTGCTTCAAGCTGGAATCAGAACCTGAGTGATTCGGCAACAGTCCGAGATTTTCTCCCTAAGCCATCAGTGCACAGTTGAAAGAAAGGCGAATTTGTGAATAAACATGCCGATGACTGACTGCTCAATTCAGAGAAGTGAATGAGCCTTGTAATATTAGTAGTAATAGCCACTGTTTACCTACCTACCAAAAAATATATATATATATATATATATATATATATATATATATATATAGGTAGGTACTTCCCCCAAAAAAGTGATACCTAAGGTTTAATATGTATTTTAAAAATGAAAAATCTTTCTTGAAGCTTTTAAGTTTTAATTCCAAGCTAATAGATTAAATTTAATGTTTCCAATAAGCAAAATACATTACTGTATTTCAAACTGAATTTAAATTGATTGAAATAATGCTTATTTTTTTTTTGAGAAATCACTAAAATTGGTCATATTGACAAATCTGTCAACATAACTTAATTTTCTTTATTAAAACATCTTTCAAAAATAAAATATATGTTGCTGAAACTATATTTGAGGAAGATTAACTGATTTACATTTTAATTAATTTGAATTTAAACAAAACATTACTTTTTGTTTAAAATATTGTACAAAAGCATTTTTGTTAACATGGAGGTGGGTGTTCTTATGAGGTGTTAGATTTATCAATAACTTAATGTTTGACATTTTTAAGTACAGGGCACATAACTTTAAAAATTACTTGAATACAATGTGAACACCTTTTTTATATAATTTTTGAACTACTCAGTAATCTAAAAAATTTAGGAAAATATTCTTAGTAATCTAAAGTTTTTGAAACTTTGGCTTTATAGTCTCACTTACAAAGACACTTGCTGAGGAAATGTTAGGAAATGACCAATAAATTTACTGTAGTTACTGCTCTTATTTTCTGATAAATATATGGATGTCCATATTTACAAAAAATGACATGTTTATATATGTACAAAATAAAAAAAAATCAATTTTTAAAAAAAATACTGGTGTGGGGGCAGTCGCTGTAATATGCTTTTCCATATATGATTAGTGAATATAGCTTTTACATAATAACGATATCACCAAACTGGTAGAAATTAAAACAGAATTTTAAAAGATTTAAAACTTCATAAATTATTCTCATTAAAATTTTTCAAAAGCAAAACAATTCTTGTAAAAATGAATTTTTCATTGAAAAAATGTTTTCTTAAGACAATATTGTCAATAATATATCTTCTTCATAAAAGTAATTAAAAGCTTTTCTAATTAAATGATATCTTAGGTTTATTGCATTTATATTTTGCGATATTTTTTCATCATGTCTGCTTATTTTAATGAATTGTTAGAGGTATCTGTGTGTGTGTATATCTATATCTATATCTATATATATATATATATATATATATATATATATATATATGTGCACACACAAAAATTTGGGTTTACAGAACCGTTGTTCTTGCCATCCTTTTGTATGCCTCAGAGTTGACTTCATACAGGTATCATATACACCAGCTGGGTGTATTCCATAAGAGCTGTCTATGTGCCATCTGCAGAGTTAGCTTTCAAAACAGGACATCCTGTTTAACAGGTGTAATAGTGGAGGAATCAAGACTTTCTTCATACAGTCTCAGTTGTGGTGGACTGGTCATGTTTTGAGAATGTCTGATGACAGGATACCCAAGATCCTAATGTACAGCTAGATCAGGGCTACAGGAATGTAGGATGCCAATGGCTAAGATGCAAAGACAAGCTGAAGAGCAACTTGTCAGCTGTCAATATATCTCATAACACCCTCAAGTGCTTAGCCTTGGGGCGGGTACAGTGGAGAACAACATGTTTTAGTGGACTCAGCAGTTTTCAATCTGCTAGTCGGAATTGTCTTTAAGATGCAAGAGCAAGATCTAAAAGGTCAGTCAATCTAACAGTGACCTCATCCCACAATCCT